CTTTTGCAGAAGCTGGAAAATAGTTATCCATGCTAGACTGTAGGTCAGTGGTGTCTGATGATTTTGTAAATCCTACTTGAGAAAAAAAATAATTCTTGGGTGATCTTAGGCAAGATAGCAGAGCACACCATTTGGCTTCAAATCTCAGATCCACACCTTACGAAATCTGTGACCATGGATAACTTACTTAATATTCGCACCTATTTCATCTCTCCTGCATCCCCATTTCAGGAGCAGTGGTACCCCATCCATTCCCCACATGCCAGGCACTGTGCCAGGCCCTGAAGACAGCTTGGGAATCCCTACGCTCACCGAGCTACTCCTCCTGGGATGGAGGTGCAGGAGGAGAGGCAGGTTTGTGAGAGGATGAGGAGTTCCTTTTTGCATCAGTGTGTTGGCCAGCCAGCAGGAAAGCTCATGCATTCTTCGGGCATTTGGATAGTCACAGGTTCTCAGGCAGTGCTACTCAAATTGTGGTCCTCGGACCAGCAGCGTCAACGACAGCATCACATGGGAGCTTGTTAAAATTCAGATTCCCAGGCCCTGCCCCAGACTCACAGAGTCAACATCTCTGTGGGTGGGGCCCCGGCATCTGTGTTTTAGCAGGCTCTCCCAGTGATCCTTGTGCATACTGAAGTTTGAGAAGCTCTGTTCTAGTTTTGTTTTCCAAAGCTGGAAAGCCCCATAGAGCAAGAACCAGATTTACTTTAGGAGCTCCCTCTGTCCTGCCTTTCAGGAGGCCCTGCCAAGGCACCATTGTCCAGCCGCCAGCTCTCCAGGTGTTCTTTCCTTGTCTTGACGCTTCACAGTTCCATCCACTTGATGCATGTGAAGCTATGACGGTTTTTAGCACCTCTAAGCCATGATACATTTTTTTTTGATGGATGTTATTTGGACAATAAAAACATAAAAAGAGAAAACTCTTTAGTTCTGCTGAGCTCTGCTTGTCATGAAATTCTGAAACACTCAGGCTGCCAATCAGCGCCAGGACAGTAACAGGAAGCTGGTGATTTGAGGGGTGTGCGTGATGAGTACGCGCAAGTGCGTTATATTCCTTGGCCCTAACACGGTCGGTCCTCAGAGACAACATGAGGGAGCTGGAAAAGGTGAAAGAAGCCTGGGGAGGAAATGAATTTGAATTGATGGTTTCCCCTGACAGCCTTACTTTGGGGCCAAGTGAAAAATCAACTGTGCTTTTTTGTTTTTTTAATGTCAAAGCACCTTTGTGAAACAGACTTCCCTGAGACCGGGCCTTCTGCCTTGTTCTATTAGATCATCTCTTCCTGACGGCAGCTGTGGGGGATGTTTTTGGTAACGTCAGTGCCATATCCAGAGGAGAGACAGAGCTGGGGGCACATGTGCTTCCGGTGCTTACGGCCACCAGGCTGCTTTTGTCAGAGGTACTGACTGAAGGCGCTGGTTCAGTCAGCCAGAAATGAGGGGACCTTTCCTTTGGGGCAAGAGGTGCTGTATGAAGAAGAGCAGAGAGAACATTCCTAAGAACAGCCACTTCCTTGTATTTCGAGAAGCCCTGGTTGGAGGGCATCTCTGCTGGGGTGGAGGACGCTGGGACTATCCGTGGCTGCCTTTCCAGAAGGGTCCACACGCACGACCAGGGTTGCCAGCATATCCATCTCCCAAAATCCTAATAAGATTTTTACCTTCTGTGGGTTGACTAGGTTAATGTCAAAGCTTCCAGCACAGGAAGAACTCTGAAAGTGTGACACCCCCTCCCCCCCCAAGTAATCAGAATGGAAGAAAATCGAGAACTTTCCAATTCACCCATTTACTTATTCATTCACTGGAATGGGGCTAGGTGTGACAAGGAGATGCAAAGGTGAATAAGGGACAGTCCCAGCCTTTGAGGAGCTGGGAGTCTAAAGGAGGGATAGCCTGAAAGAGAAATAATTTGAGGACAGTATGAAAGAAAGAGTTCTTAAGTCGGTTCTTCACTATAGGAGACAGAGCAGAAGGCCATCGAACCTGCCAGCAGAGGTGGATGAAGCCTTCTCAGGTGACAATTTATCTGCTCTTGCTCAGGTGAAAGGAGGAGAGGCCAAGGAACAGGAAGAACAACAATAATAAACATTTCTGGAATATTCAGTATGGACCCAGAACTACTGTGTGAACTCATTTAATGCTCATAACAACCCTCTGAGGTGGGCACTGTTGTTGGGTCCATTTTACAGATGAGGAAACTGAGGCTCATTGAGGCTAAGGAGCCTGTCCGAGCTCATACAGCTAGTAAATGGCAGACAGGCTCCTGGCTGTTGACCAGTGTCCAACACGGCCTCTTGCAGTATGCAAGCATGATCTCTCTGGGGAATTTTGAGTGGCTTGAGTGAATAGTGGTTCTGAATTTTGTTTTCTTCTAAATTGGGCAATCAATTGAGCCCACCCATTCCCACTTTCCAATGGAGAAAACATCTCTATGACGAAGCTTTGGAGAATGTTGTGGTTTGCCAGGGCTGCTGCAACAAATACCACAGACTGGCTGGCTTAAACAATAGAAATTTATTCTGTCGCAGTTCTAGAGGCAAGAAGTCCCAGATCAAGGTGTTAGCAGGGTTGGTTTCTTTGGACGCCCCTCTCCTTGGCTTGTAGATGGGTTGTCTTCCTCAAGTGTCTTTATGTGGTGTTCTTTCTCTGTGTGTCTGTGTTCTACTTTTCTCTTCCTATAAGGACCCCCATCATGTTGGATTAGAGCCCATCCCAATGACCTCATTTAACCTTAACCACCTTTTTAAGGACCTGTTTCCAAATACAGTCACATTCTGAGGTACTGGGGGTTAGGACTTCAACATAGGAATTTTGAGGGGGGGCACAATTCAGTCCATATGAGAGAGCAACCAACAGAAACAAATTGTACTGTGAGCTTTTACACGTGATTTTATATTATTCAACAATGCCCTATACATTTTTAAGTACTTTTTAACACTATCGTTGGTGATAGTTACAAACTAATTGTATATAACACATTTACAGGCAGCATGGTACTAATGATGTGTAACCATTCAAGCATATTGGGGCAAGGAGGTGGTTCCTGTCTACAATCACTTTAGCAGCACAGTTAGGAATCACTTGTGTATGAACAAACTTGTATCTTTAACTAATGGAAAGCTACAGGTCAAGTGCCATAAATCTGCCTCTCCATGGACTGTAAGAGTAACCAAACAGATGGCCACCAATGGTGATTTATCATTGAAAAGCAAGAATAATACCAGTGAAGACCATGGCTGCCTGGATACCACGCTCATGATGCATGGCTGACAAAAGGTCCGTCCAGAAGTGCAGGAATTCCAGCCATCAGAACTTGCTCACGTGCAGCCAGCAGGGGCTCCACCGTCCTGAATGGTCACTGGATTTCCCAGTAGAATGGCGAATCAGAACCATTAGTGTGTTCTAACTTACTATTCCTAAATGTTAGTAATTTTTAGTAACTCATTTTATAGGTTCTTAATAAGTAGCACTAATCCCACATAAAAATGAGTCTATGGAATTGTGTATCTTTCGCTCATAAGCACTATAGAAAGGAAACCGTGGTTGAGTATGAATTTTGTGTCCACGATACTTGAGACATATCCCACTCTCTCATGTCTGTAAATCGTATTTAACTGGCTCCAGGCCATGCGTGACCTGGCTCTTAGTCATTATGAGAGCTCCCTTTCCTTTTCCCTTGCTCACCCTGCCTAAAAAGGTCAAATGAGATCTTGACAGAGGAATGCCAGGGGGCCAGGGAACCCAGCCCTTAGTCTATGTGGCCTGGCTTCGAGGCCAGTATTTCTGTCCTCGCTGGGAAGAACTGGTCATGTGCCCTGCTTCTGGCAGACTGGGCAGTGTGTCCTCACAGTGGTCCATTCCCATGACCACCGACCTGCCCAAGGGGACGCTCAGCCATGATGCCCAGGGTCCAACATCTGCAGACATCCTCTAGCCGCCATCTGCCATCTAGTGTCCGTGTAATGGGAACCAAATCAAAACAATGCTGTCCCACACCTTCCTCACCTTGCTCTCTGTTTTAGAAAGTTTCAACATGCCTTTCTCTTGAGCTGTTTTATTTCCTTTCTCAAAGCTGTAATCACTTCCACCCAACCATTAACCTGAAACACAAAAACTTTTTATTTCACTCCTCAGTGTATTAGGACATGGGCACAGGTAGGGCGCATGATTTTAATACCATTTAGAGACCGCTGCTGAGGACGGTTGGGAGTCTTCTAGAGTTTTTAAGAAGAGGCATGACAGAGTAATCTTTTAAAAAGAACACTTTAAGATGGACTGGCTATTAGGCGATCCTAGGAAACTTTATAATGCAACCGTAGTTGCATAGAAAAATGTCCTTATTTTTTGGAGATTTATACTGAAATCTTTATGGATGAAATGTCGTGGTGTTTGTTATTTAAACGCTTTGGGGAAAAAATATAATGGGGGGCCTGCCCATGGCGTAATGGTTAAGTTCACATGCTCTGCTTTGGCAGCCTGGATTCACAGGTTGGGATGCTGGGCTTGGACCTACACATCGTTCATCAAGCCATGCTATGGTAGCATCCCACATACAAAATAGAGGAAGATTGGCACAGGTGTTAGCTCAGGTACCATCTTCCTCAAGTGAAAAGAGGAAGATTGGCAATGGATGTTAGCTCAGGGCCAATCTTCCTCACCAAAAAAAAAAAAAAATTATATATATACACATAGGAAAATATGGCAAAATGCTTATAATTGTTAAATCTAGATGAGGTAACATGGACATTCATTATACATCTTCCTCTTTTTCTGTATGTTTTCAGAATTTTTTAATAGTAGAAAATGTAAAAATAAATCCTTCTGGTGGCTCTCTGGGGGTTGGGTTGGAGGGACGTAGGGAGCCAAGTTAGTGAGGAGGTGAAGGCAGCGATGGAGGTGAACACTGATGAGGGGCGGAGCTAAAACGGCGCCCTGTGGCCGGAGAGGAGGCTGTGGACTGTAGGGTATCATGTCGTCTGTTCTCTTCGCTGTTCCCACAGTCCAAAGTGCTTCGGGAAAAATGGCTGCTGCAGGGTATACCCGCCGGAACTGCCGAGGAGGAGGAAGCCAGGAGGAGGCAGTCTGAGGAGGATGAGTTCCGAGTCAAACAGCTTGAAGACAACATTCAGAGGTAGGTGGTTTCCAGCCCGGGGTCCCCACGCTGTGGTTTACGCCGCAGTAACCACTACTCTCCTCTAGGGGGCCTTTCTCCATGCCGTCAGCTTTTTGCAGAGCTTTGGAATTATCTTCCTAAACAGAGTACACTGATATCATTTAAACTTTTCCAGATACCCAGAGTTATTACTCTGAGTACTAATTATTGTATGGGGCTTTCATATAGTACAGTGACGCCTTCAGGGACCAATGAGGTGTTGTAAGCAGCGTGTCCCTTCACCAAATGCGACTTTGAAAATTCTTCCATCAGCTTTTGTCTTTTTCCTCCTTTGGGTCAGGCTGTTAGCTGTTATTGCTGCTGTCGTAGGTCTGTTTTCAAACTTGCTACATTTGATCAATTTGAAATGGAAAACTGTAGCCAAGGGTCTTGGAATAGAAACGTGTCATATAGAAGTGCTGAATGAGCACCCCTGGGGTTATGAGCCTGGGCTAGAAATTAACCTGGGGTTGTCTGCTTTCACTGTGCACAGGGTGGGTCGCTTCCTTTATGGTTCTCAACAAGGTTCTGAACATTTGAGTCTGGGAGATAAGTGACCTTCCTGTGGCCAGTGGCTGGCCAGGCTCTTGCAAGAGCAAAAATGTAGATTTTGGCTTGAGAACCGCAGTCACCCCAGCTCCCAGGACACCCAGCCAGAGATATGACGTAGGGGTGGAAGTTGGTGAGTGTAGGTGCCTTAGAACCAAATCTCCCAGTCCACGCATGCCACCAAATTCTGCCTGAACTCTCACCGTCAGAGCTTCATCTCTCTCTCCTGACATCATGAGCTCTTTCAGAATACAAAGAGTAGCGCTAACTTGCCACCAGCTGTTTGTACCCCAGGGTGAATACAGACTGAGAGAGTCCCCAGGGGACTCCAGTAGTGTCACCAAAGGGAAAAGCAGACCCAGTGTAAGCCCCAAAGGCCTATGTCCCTACCCTGCTTGGACCCTGATGTCCCTTTAATAGTTCTCAGAGCAGCCTGGCCACTTATGGGAGAAACTGGCTAAGAAAAAGTGTGTATGGGATGTGTGTGTGTGTATGCATATACATACACATGTGTGCAAATATATACACATAAATGTGTACACACACTGTCTTCAAATACAAAAGACAAAGGCTGAACTATTACCAACAATTATGGCATTGGAAGAAGAAAATTTTAATCCTGTAAATACTGGCATCCAGCTTGTATGGACAAGTTCCTCCGGGACCGCTGATGACAGGACTTCCTGTTAGAAACCCAGAAGAGAGAAATGAGAGGGGGCAGGTGGAAGTCACTCAGACCTGAGCCTCAGGGGTTCCCTCTCCTCAGCAGTGGCACTTCTTGCTGCATCTTAGACAAGATGAGGAGCCAAAGATTGTTGGAAATATTGACAGTAAATTGGAGAGGAAAAGGCAGCTCTGAGAAATGGTTTCATAGGAAGTTTGTTTAGGTCTCAAAGCGGCAGGTCCATGGTGCTTTTAGCTGCAGTGACAGTTGACACGATCCAGCATCTCTTTGTCTTTACTTGTGATCACAGTTCCAGTCATTTCCCTGCCCCTTTCTTACATAATCACAACAGATGGGTCTGGCACAAAGCAGAGGCTCCCTAGCTATTTGTTGAATGAAAGAATTGGGACCTAGTGCACTGGGCATCGGGGGACCCCTGCCTGACACAGGAACTCTCCAGTCCAAATTGGCAAGCCCCTGGGAACCAAGTGGCCTGGGCCCCGTCTAGTCACAGCAAGAACCGCGGGTCAGGTTCTGGGTGGGTCATGTGCTACTGAGGAGTTCAAGGAATTTCAGGATGAGAATACCTCTGACGGGAAGGGAGACAGCGTATATGCTAATGGGCAGAAAATCATTTAAAATTCTTTCTTTAAAAACTGGATATCTTTAAAAAAAAAACAACTGGATATCTTTTCTCACTGAGCCTGATGTGCATTCATTTCCTCTAGTAGGCGTTATTATAGATGCTAGGCAGAAAGGATTTGGAAAATAGGCTAAAATTAGTTATATGACCTTGTCTGTTTTTCTTAAATGGCATTGGAAAATGCCGTTGGCAGGTTCACTCTGGCTTGATCACAAATATATTGTTCTTCTGGCCCCTTAGGTCGTAACTCTCACCTGCGGGATGAACAATTCCCCGTGGAGGGAGGGTCTTAAATCGAGACTCAGTTTTGGCTAAAATGACCATTGGAGTGAGGTGTAAGAGTTAGGGGCTGGTTTATTATTTGCGTGGGAGTGATCATACTCAGAAAAATAAAGAAAATGTCTTTTTATGTCTTGAGTCAACAGGATAACGAGCTCACTCGATATATGCAGGCAATCTCTTGGAGCCCGTTTAAGAGACAGATTCCCAAGCCAGAAGGAAAGAGATCATAAGAGCCTGGGGGTAGAGATGGAGGTGCCGATCGAGGCCTGGATTCAAGGGACATTTCCTTCTGCCACAGTCATTTTCCGTGGGATGAGCTGTGTTCTCTGGACCTGCTTTTCTGTAGGATCAGGGCTGCTGGTAGGCATCGTTTCCTCCTCGGGGCCTCCTAGAGAGGTGTTTCTTCCTGCCCCAGAATCAGTTTCTGCTTCCCCTCATCTTCCTCGCGTCTTCTCTACTACAACGTTCAGCGTCTTTAAGCTCTAGTCCCAAGGAAAGAAAGGAGATGTCTTCCCTCCTCCCTTAAAGGATACTCAGTCATCTAAGCCACTCTCCTGGAGTCCAGCATAGTGTAGTTCTCTCACTCATTGTCATTTGAACAGCTCTAAAGGCTCATTGGAAACATAGGCATCCTACAGTGTTACGAAGTCTGTGTGGATTGGCTGCCCTGGCCCTGTTAATTTAAGTGACTCTAAGCTGTAGGTTAGATGAGTCTTCTCTTGCTTTCCTTACACTAACGAGTTAACCACGACGATTTCTTTCTATGGCAAAGGCAGAAGTGCAAGAGGGCTGAGCAGAACCGAGGCGTAGGCTCAGAACTGCCCATGAGCCACTAGCCAAAGTCAGTCCATGGCCAATCCCAGAGCCAAGGGGAGGAGACGGAGCGTCAACCTTCAGCGGAAGGAACTTCTGAGTTAATGTGGCAAAGGGCACAGATTCCGGAAAAGGAGGACATGGGGGCTAATACTCCCGTCTTCCAGAAGCATGACTGTGCAATTGAAAAACTGCAAGCCTGAGGGAAAACGGACCAGCCTTAGGGAAAGTACAGAAAAGCCAATGAATAAGAAAGAAGACGAACTAGAAGAACTCAGGAATTCAGAGGGAAAAGAAGGAGAGAATAAGAGAAAATAGGGGTGGTTTAGAGATCAAATTCGGAATCTGATCTTTATGTAATAGGAATCCCAGAAACTGTCTACAGTTCAGATGTAGCAGAACCACTAAATAAAGGAATTCTAAAGGAAACTTTGTTTGAAGCAAAACGTTAGTCTGTAGATCTTTAGAGTTGGGTCACTAGTCTAAGTCACTCCCCAGCAATAAACTGGATTCTTGTAAAGGGATGTATGAGCTGTTTTCAAACTATAAAGTATATTAGTACAGCTATGCCCTGAAGGTATTTTAGTCCCTGTTGGTGAACCAAGAGTAGCTTGAAGAATGTGAAGGAGCAGTAGAAAATAGTAATCAAAGGACAGGGAGAATGCCTACAAGGAAACATTAAGGGAAATTTGGGCCATTTAGTTTAGGAAAAGAAAGGATAATAGCAACCTAACTCAGAACTTCAAGTGTGTGTAGGGTTTAGGCCACATCTTCATTCTTTATGTCTGGGCCATTCTGAATACGATAAAGACCTCAAATAAAGCATGAGAATTTGCACTTAGATGTATGTCTGTTTCCCTAGATATCTTCAAGAAGAAAGAACACAACCACCTTTCTAATTCTGATCCTAAAATTCTTTAAGTGCCAGTAGCCATACAGGAAGTTCCAGGCTTATAGACATGTTTCTACCAAAATGTTACTTGTCAAACTGGTGGTGGTTTGGAACTGAGAATCGTACCTCTCTTCCAAAACCATTATATGTGGTGCTTAGATTTTGAGGGCAGCCACAAGGAGGAAAGGAAGGAAGAGAGGAAGGAAGGGAGACAGGAAGGGGAAATGTAACTAGACTACTAAAATCCTGGGCATTAGAATCACCTGGGACACTTTTTAAAAATACAGATTCTTGGGCTTCATTCCAGGAAATTTGGATTCAGTGATCCAGGTAAGGAGCCCTGGAATTTATGTTTTTTAAAGAGTGCTCCAGATAATTCTTTTCATGGTCATATTCAAGAATGATTGTTGAATCGTAAAAACAATAAACCATAAATGAAATCCTGTTTTAATACCTAGAAAGCCCCAAAGGAGATGAGGAAATAAATAGTGTTTATAAGAAAATTGATTTCACACAAATGAACAAAGAAAGACAACCCTGACACTTGATTTTAGACTGATTCTGAGCCTTCGAGCTTTGACTTAAGGAAATTTGAACCCTGCTTTGGGGGTGCCTGTAGGTGGGACTAGAGCTTTCTTTCTGGCCTAAAGCTAAGGTCTCGCCACCATAGGCCCCACAGTGGAGCCAAACTTTCATTTGAACTTTATTAGGAGCAGCTTTGGTTTACCAGACTGAAAATGATCCAGGTCAGGAAAGCTGGTTACTTTCCCAAAGGCCAGAAAATTCTACTCTTTTTCAAAGATTTCTGGCTGAAATTAAGAGCACTGTAGCCTTGAAGTGATGACATCAAGATGGCAGGAAAGAAAGAAGAGAACTGGTCACTACAAGGGATAGATTGTCCTTCTTTTGCACAACTTTTCCCTGGGCGATGTCAGGATGGCCAAGTCTGTTCATTATATTCTTGGCTCGCTGGAAACCAGAAGTAAAATAGGCTAAATAAGGTCAGGATTGTTGAAAGCAAAATATGTACACAGATTTCTTTTCTTAATTTTCTTTTTAAAAAACTTTCGAATGTCACATCTTCTGTAAGCTTTATTTCCTTTTGGAGTACCATATTGAAGAAGCCCAAAGGTTTT